TCTCAAAGTGTGTTCCATTAACCACTTATATCAGAATCACCTTGGATGGGGTTGGGAGCTTATTAAAAAGGCAGTTTCCTGGGCCTTACCCCACATCTGTTGGATCAGAATCTCTGGGGGATGGGGCTGAGGAACTTGCGTTTTGAATAAACTTCATAGGTGATTCCTAGGCCATTAAAGCTTGCAAATCACTGCCTTTATAGTCAGTGTCTTCCAGCTTGTTTACCTAACTCATTTTGAACCAAAGACTTAGGACTATTTCAAAAAATCAAAGCCACCCTTAAAGGACAAAGGCACATATGCCAGTGGTGCTGAAGATCATCTCAGGGAATGAGCTGAACAATGGATAGGCATGCAGACTTGTGGAAATGATGTTGTGGAAGGAGACAAAAGTCTTTGGCTGGTTTTGGTATGCTTGACAATGCTAGCACCTTGATAAGTCTTACTTCACACGTTAAAGGACCTTGGCTTTAACTTCCCTATTAAAAGGAAAAGAAGAAGAAAGGAGAATTGTGTGTTGGCTAGATAGGTATGATCTCTAAGGTCCTTTCTCTATTTTGTGTTCTGGTTATTCTACTGTTGTACATAAATGTTTTTTAACCAACCCTGAACACATGAATGAATATGTATAAGTAATGAGGCTTATTACTATAGCAAAAACTGCAAGCTTGGTTTGCTTTAAAGAGAAGAGCCTCCTTAAATCAAAGTGACTTCAAAAGAAGTAGTATAAAAAACAAACAACAACAACCAAAAAACACTTGGCGACCCATATTGGAAAAGTCCTATAGTACTGTTGAATGTGAATTTCTGCTCAATGACCTTTCGTTTTGGACAAATGGTTCACACATTATCAGAAAGACATTTAATGTGTTTAATGATTCAAGGGTAAGCAGCCAGGAATTGTGATACTGATTCTTGGTTTTAAATTAGTTAACATTACTAAACATAAATTGCAGCATTTATAATTGTACTTACTTATTTCTCAAATATCAATACCTACCCTTTCATTCTCTGAATGAAAATAAAACCAATGACTGTATTTGTCTAGTCAACAATTCTTTCATGCTATGTCTTACTATGCAAAAAATCTTTCAGTGTTGGCCCATAGGTATAAGTTACCATTTTAATCCTGAAAATAATTATGATAAAAATGTTAAATATCATGATGCATTTAATAATGATTAAATAGCTACCAATTTTAAGGGCCTACCATATTCTAAGCACAATTCTGAGTACTTTCTGTAACTTACAAGAATATAAGTATTTTAAAGATGTGTTATTTCCAGTTTATATATGAGGCTCCTTTAAACTTATGGAAGTCACATTGAAATGCATAATCAGGAAGCCTCACACAGAGGCTTAGCAGTTTTGTAGCCTCCATTTTTTATCAAACGTGCCTCTTTACATTACCTGGTGTACAGTAGGTAGGCAGTAAGTGTTTGTGGAATTTCATCACCCTCCCCCTAAATTGCTGTGTTTCTTTTTTTTTTTAAAAGAAGATGTTGAGGGTAGGAGTTTATTATTTAATTTATTTATTTTTGCTGTGTTGCGTCTTCGTTTCTGTGTGAGGGCTTTCTCTAGTTGTGGCAAGCGGGGGGCCACTCTTCATCGCGGTGCGCGGGCCTCTCACCATCATGGCCTCTCTTGTTGCGGAGCACAGGCTCCAGACGCGCAGGCTCAGTAGTTGTGGCTCACGGGCCTAGTTGCTCCGCGGCATGTGGGATCCTCCCAGGCCAGGGCTCGAACCCGTGTCCCCTGCATCGGCAGGCGGACTCTCAACCACTGCGCCACCAGGGAAGCCCCTTGCTGCGTTTCTTTTAGTATGTATTTTATGTTGAAGTGCAGTTTAGTAAAAGTCAATGACTTATGTAATTATGAGTTTGATTGAAAGAACTAAACTATATCCTGTTTTGAATTAAAATGAGATTACTTTTTCGTATATCTGATTTATTAGTAATCCTGGTTTCCATTAGCAAGATAGAAATGATCTCTGCTTCAGAGACTGAAAATTTTACTAATGATTAATAAACGGTAGCCATCAGATGTTCTGTTTATTTTTCTCCCCAAACTTTAGATGAAAACCACTTTATCTTATCTTTCCAATTTTAGCCTTCTAATAGCAAGAATTGGTGAATATAAGCTACTAATTATGTTTTTTCTTTTCTTTCCTTTTGGGCATGCCGCACGGCATGCAGTCTTAGCTCCCCTACCAGGGATTGAACCCACACCCCCTTCAGTGGCAACACAGCGTCCTAACCATTGTACCTCCAGGGAATTCCCTATATCTTGTTTCTTTACCAAGGCCAGAGTGTGAGGCTTCCCGCTCCCTCTCCCCACCACCTCCACCACGACCTACCCACCCACCCCTCCAGGGACCAGTGAGTTGCAGGAATGCAATTGCTGTGGAAATCATTTCTCCCTTCATGACACCTGACTCTGATGAACACCATATGCAGTTCGATTGACAAGTTTGATGCTGCCACTAGATGCACTGGCACACTTTTATATCTTCACAAGGAAGAAATACCACAAATATGAGAACCACATTTGTTCTCTTAAAACAACTTGTTTTTCCCATGTTTGATTTTGCTCTAATGTTTTGAACTGGATTTTTGCTGCTGGTAGTGTGCTGCGAATGGTAACTTTGTGTTGTGAATGATCTTGAGAGGAAGAAGCAGAACCTCCCAGCCATGAGAAAGATTTGATATTTGTGTTGTGAAGTTCTTGTAAATTATAATGGAAGGAACTGACAAGTAGGAATTTTTTAATTTGGGGCTGTCCATTGGCCCTACAGGCTGTCGATGATTGCAATTTGAAAATCTCAAAGTAAACATGATCATAGGAGATTAATCAAATTAATTAAACTTTTAACAAAGTCTCTCTTCGATTAGAACAGATTGTTAGTTAAGGCCACTAGAAAACATCAGCCGGCTGTGTGATCCCTTTATATTTCTCAACTGCTTCTAAAATATTAGAATGATTTGCTAATACCTGGTAGAAAACTGATCACTGTGTTTTTTATAGTAATTGAATGGCTTAATGGTTAGTGTGATGTTGAAAGCTGTACCTCCCTTGAATATGTTTCGTGTAGTTTTGAAATTTATGTTATATATTAATTTAAACCAAATAAGATACCTACATTTTCATAATTATTTTCTCTTCTAGCTCATTTTCACAGAAAGGGGATTTGGGATGTACACAGTTGCCAGACAAAATTGTCTTGAAATCAAATTCTTAAAACCACTAAGCCAACCTGCCTGCTTGCCTCCCTTCTTTTCTTCCTTCCTTCCTGACTTCTTTCCTTCCTTCCTTTTTTGGGGGTCTCCTCTTTGGCTAGTATTTAATATCACTTGTGAGGCTAGTGCTGTGATGGCCATCTACTGTGTGATATCCACTTAATCCATTGATGTGAAAGCAACAAGGACTTATTTTCTCCCTTTTGTAGGAAATGGCATTCCAACTGTTTTTTGACATCTTTAATTTTAGAGGTTGCCAATGATCAGATCAGGGTCAAGACTGACTTCAAATATTTTAGTAAGAAGCAGAAAGAAAAATGAGATCCTAACTTTCTAGTCTCCTGATCTACACATCTCCATTGATGAATTAAAGCTATATGGGTGTGAAATTTGGTATGGAGACTTAGGCTGCTTGAGCACCTTTTATCCCATAATAGTTGTGGAATGTGAAGATCTGAATTTTCATGGGGGCACTGATATTTCATGGCCAACAATTGGTTTTTTAAAGGCCTTGTCATTTCAGATTGCCATGGGGTCCGGTTATTGCTGCTGTAAATGTGTATATGAACCTGCCTCCCAATGAACTTATTGCAGTGGTGCTAACTTGTCTTGACACTCTTGCCAACAGTTCTAGTGGCCCTGTGTGTAGTCACCGCACAGGTTTTGTGGAGGATTCAGCCTAAACTTCTGGGATGAATTTCTATGGACAAGAAATATACTGGCTTTAAAAATTAAGAGGTTTGATTCTGTTTTGAATATGGATATCAAATGAATCTGAGCACATGACATTTTAATGCCGTTTGTCTTTTCAAATAGATTTACCTTCTAATGCATGTGATGACAAGACTTTGCTCATCAGCTAGAACATACATTTCAGAGGAGTTGTTACCTAAAATATTATCATAAGGCATAAGAAAACACACGATTTAAGTTGCCTTTCATGAACATAATTAAGAATTAATAAGCCAGTACCAGTGGCTAGTCCCCAGAATTTCCACTGTTTTGCCTTTTGTGACCTGTGTTATTAAAAGTCCATTATTTTTACAGACTTTATTAAATTGGATCTTATTAAAGCATTCTATATTTGCATTTGGTCTTTCATAATTCATTATTATTATGACATTTACTTTTTACCATCAGATCTGAAAACATATCATAAGCTACCCTTTTCTCTTGAAAGAAATGCTAATTTCAAACAGTCCTCTAATAGAAGAGAAAAGCTTTATCAGTTTTTTCATTTATTCCAGATCGTGTTAAGAATACTAATGCTAGACTTCAGTATGCTAATATCTCTGAGCTTTTTTTGGTCAAAAGCTTAGAATTATTATTTTTATCCCATACCAAGTATGAAACTAGAAGACCTCCTACTACTGGAGAAAACACAATTCTAAAGTACAATTCTTGATTCTAAGGACTTGTGAAAATGTTGCTAGATCCTGTTTAGACTAGGATGATGCCGGTTAATTTAACTTTTACCACCCGATACTTGTCCCCTTTAAGAAAATTTTCCTCTTAAAATTCATTTCGTTTGTTTTTCTCATAGTTTAGGGTAATATAGGGTGTGTGGCCTGCTTTTCTGTAGGATAATCATTTCTATACCATTTATGATGTAGTTGAAAACTTAATACAGTAATATTTTACATATTGATATCAGACTGTCTAATTTTAATATAGCTAATAAAACACAATGACTTTTTTCTTAGCGTAGTGATAAATTTATTAAACTCTGAAATGAAACTAACTTTGGATTTTGTCTCATTTTAGATTTCTGACAATGTGCAATAGACACTTTGGCAGCGTTGTTGCACAAACCATTCGGACTCAAAAAACAGATCAGTTTCCACTTTTTCTGATTATTATGGGAAAGCGATCATCTAATGAAGTGTTAAATGTGATACAAGGTAAAGTACATATCATAAGGGAAGTAGAGTGTCTCCTTATGTATGTGATAACCTTGTAATATTTACCATCAAAGCTGAAAGTAATTCTCTGTATTGGTGAATATCTTTGCATTTTAAAATATAGAACACCCGGAAAAAGAATATCTTCAAAAAGTATAGGTGCGGGCTTCCCTGGTGGCGTAGTGGTTGGGAGTCCGCCCGCCGATGCAGGGGGCGCGCGTTCGTGCCCCGGTCTGGGAGGATCCCGCGTGCCACGGAGCGGCTGGGCCCATGGGCCGTGGCCCCTGGGCCTGCGCGTCCGGAGCCTGTGCTCCGCAATGGGAGAGGCCGCGACAGTGAGAGGCCCGCGTACCGCAAAAAAAAAAAAAAATAGTATAGGTGCTATGAAATATGCTTCATGAAAATCCAACATAAACATCTTAATAAAACTGCACAGCCCTTGGGACATAGGATAATCATGTTAAATATTCAGAATTGCTAAATTTTCTAAACTAGAAATTAAGCCATAATCAGTCATCAAATATGATATTTCATTCATACACACACACACACACACACACACACACACACACACATATATTTCTTGCTGTAATGTTGATTGGTTGAAGGAAATCCTTATCTTTAGTTATCTGGAAAAACCAGTGACTGGATATTGTGAATTGAATAGTTCACAGTGGCAGTCGTTTCTCCTCATTTGTGTGAATCCATGTCTAGAATGCAACCCTGAGGTGTGAAGCTATAGGATGCCTGTCAATTTAATCACAGTGCACACATTCTTTACCAAAAAAATGAGTGATATTTTTTATGTTACTAATGTATCCTAAGTATTAGTATAAAAAATTCCTTTATACATGGCAAAGCTTGCATTGAAAACAGTATCTTTTCTATGCCACAGGGAAAAGGATGTTTCAGATGCTCCAAGCTAAAGCTTGTGTCTGAGATACTTAATTTCTGCCCCTATTTGAGTCACAAGTTCTGTAGCAGATAATGTAATGGAGGAAGGGGTATAAATTCAAGTGCCTTTAAAACTCAAAACAAAACCTCTGGTATTTTATGTTTCTCTATAGCTAGAGCATTCACTTTCACAAACAATGTTAAAGAAGACCTGCTGCGGGAACAAAATGCATAGAGTAAATAGATAATGAAGATAATATTTCATTCCTGTTTTCATATTAATTAATCATATTAATTAATTTCATATTAATTAATATTTCATTCCTGTTTGCTGTAATATTTCCAGCAATATTACAGTCAGTAGTGGTTCTCAAAGCATGGTCCATGGGCCCTAGAGGTCCCCTAGATCCTTTCAGGGAATCTACAAGGTCTATTTTTGATAGACTCTTTTTTTGCTTTTTTTTTACTGTATTGACATTTGTACTAAGTGGCGCAAAATCAGTGCTGTGTAAAACTGCTGGCATCTTAGCACAAATCAAGGCCATGACACAGAACTGTACTGGTAGTCATATTTTTCACCTCCATGTATGTGCATTTTTTTAAATTATTATTTTATTAATTTTTAACCATCTTTATAGTTTGTGTGATGCAATGGGCAGACATTTCTCCAGGATGAACAAAGTGAGTCTGTTACTTCAAGAAAAAGAACTGACAACATTTGTTGCCAATGATAAAATTTGAGTTTTTAAGCAAAAAGTTATATCCTCCATTTAAGATTGACAGCTTAAATACTTTTCTGGTGATGTCAATGGTGATGATAATAAATGTGATTTTTTTGATATCATAAAATAAGATGTGTCAACATTCAGAAGAAATGCATGACTCCGTGAACCAATATTTTCCAAATGACCAATGCATAATGTTATAAACTCATGCATGAGTAAAAGATCCATTCAAAGGGCAAAATAGACCAGTGGATTTTAATATAACAAAGTACAATAAGTTCATTGATAACGGTTTCAAATTCCTCACATACCTAACCTTGAAAAAAATTCCACTTGTCAGTTTGGGTGTATTAAAGAAAAATATCTACAATTATCTATTAAAATACTCCTCCTTTTTCCAACTATATATCTGTGTGAGGCCATAATTGCTTCATAAATTTCAACCAAGATAACACATTATAGCTGGTTTAATGTAGATATAGATATGAGAATCCAGTTGCATTTTATTAAACCAGACATTAAAGAAATTTGCAAAAATGTTAAAAAAAATTACATTCTTCTCACTGAACTTTTTCTTTTGGAACATATAGTTATTTTTCATAAATGTGATATTTATATTAACAAATTATGGGGGTTTTTTTGATGTTGATGTGTTTTTTTTGTTTGATGTTTTTTTTTTGATGTTGATTTTTGTTTGATGTTTTTTTTTGATGTTAGTAATTTATTTATTTATTTTTGCTGTGTTGGGTCTTCGTTTCTGTGCGAGGGCTTTCTCTAGTTGTGGCAAGCGGGGGCCACTCTTCATCGCGGTGCGCAGGCCTCTCACTATCGTGGCCTCTCTTGTTGCAGAGCACAGGCTCCAGATGCGCAGGCTCAGTAGTTGTGGCTCACGGGCCTAGCCACTCCGTGGCATATGGGATCCTCCCAGACCAGGGCTCAAACCCGTGTCCCCTGCATTAGCAGGCAGATTCTCAACCACTGCACCACCAGGGAAGCCCCAAATTATGGGTTTATTATTGTTACTTTTAAATGAATTGATAAATATGTTTTAGAAATTTCAGTTTTAATTTCTAACACAGTAAATGTTGGTAACCATAACCCACATAAAAATTCTTCAGGGATCTCAATAGTTTTTAAGAGTATAAAGAGGTTCTGTTGCAATAGGCTATAAAAAATAAATTTTCCCTGAACTGCATTAAATGGAACCTTTCTCCATCTTGGATCATTAAGGGCTTAGGTATAAAATACCTTCAAGTACGGTTTGGCAATGAGCCTGTATAGTTAGGGCTGAAGCATAGTTGATAAGCAGTGACTTTAAGCCTGAAAATTAATGACCAGTGTGTAGTACCTGTAAAATTATACTATTTCCCCATTGATGATTCTAGTACCCTCTACAAAGTATTCATGCCCCATACTCGTTGTTAGTCACTACAGTTTACAAATAAGAAATGGAAACCCAAAGATTTGCCTGGTAACAAAATCTACGTTGAAGTTTCTCTTATTAAACTTTTTGCCATTTGTTATATCTGTTAATAATAACTGTCAGTGATTGTGTGTGTGCTATGTACCAGGCACTTTACATTATCTCTGATCCTTCTAAGAACCCTACAGAGGTAGTGTTATCTTCATTTTGCAGATAAGGAAATTGATCGTTAGAGAGCTAGAGTCACTCCCTCTTCTCTTATTCATTTGTTTACTAAGTGAATATTTATTAAGCCCTTGTCATGTGCTAGGCAATTTCTAGGTACCAGATCATGTAGTTATAAGTAGCAGAACTAGGGTTAGAACTCTGACTACAAAACCAGTTCTGCTTTCTTGGTAACATGATATCACACCAAGATAATACTTGTTCTCTAGCTCATTTATTGAGAGAGTAGTGCTGATGTGAGCAAATTAGATTATTTCTTTGGCTAAGGACCGCAGCTGCTCCCTAACTGCATGTTGCCAGTGGTCATAAGGGAAACTGGGAAAGGACCATTGAAAGATTATGTTAGTCAAACCCTACTCTGGAAGAATACAAGCAAGGATGCTTACTATTTGTTGTCTCGTTGGTGGCCATTCCATTAACGGGACAAGAAGACACCTTCTCAGGCCCTGGAGAAGACAGGCTCTTTTGCCTGTAGGTTTGAAAGAAGAGAAAAATTGCTATATCTTTATGTATCTTCATGAGTTTCCTTCTCTCTTGTAGATGCATCCAAAGCAAATAACAGAACTTAATGCATGCAAGAAATGGCATATATTTGCTATATGTTTGTTACAAACTTGGACAGGGAATAAAATAGCATTCAAGAAAATCAAATATTACAATACCTTCTCCATAAAGATTATAGCATAGTCATTTGAAAGCAGCTGAAAGGGAAAAATATCAGTTGGGAAAAGAAAAAATTTTTTTTTTTCCGAAATTGAATTACTGCTTGTTTCACCAAAGAATTTTTAGTGATAGGAGATAATTCTAAGTAAACAGTATGCTAAGATGGCAAAGGAGACAGGCTTCTGAGTCAGACTCATATGGTTTCAAATCCTGACCCTGTAACTTAACCAACTTGACGTTGGTTAGTCAGGTTACTTGAGCTCTCTAAGCCTCATTTTCCTTCTCATTACAATCAAAATCATAATAACACCTTCATAGAATTGTACAAATTAAATGAGATTTTATATCTATAAACCTAATCACTTAATGTAATTTGTTTGGCATATAAACAAATGGTAGTTGTTGCTAGCGTTATTAAGTAGATATGTTTTCCTAACTTGAAAGATACTTTGATCCTCATGACTTGGATATTCTTCTTGTAGTGCTGAAAGTCCTTCTTATTAAGTAAGAGACTGTTCCCTCAAATCTAAGTATTCTGAAATTTCAATTGCCAGTATACTGCTTTGTTCTCTTTCTGAAAATATGAAACTTTTCAGTGAAAACATGAAAGTTTTTATTAGCATGCCAGTCTGTAATTTTTTTAGACTGTAGTTATTCCTTACTGATTAATTCTAGAATGACTTTCCATTTTATAATGACTTTAATGTGAAGTTTGGCTATCTCCATGTGTTGCTAGGTAACACAACAGTGGATGAGTTAATGATGAGACTCATGGCTGCAATGGAGATCTTCACGGCCCAGCAACAGGAAGATATAAAGGATGAGGTAAGGTGAAATGTTAAGTAGACCTTTAATAGGATTTTGTTGAGATAATTTGTCAAATGGTGATGCTTGCCTATGTCATGATGGATAAATAAGGCATTGATGAAGATGTGTTTCCACATGAACGAAGGGTTTTTATGCCACTGAATTTACCTTTCAGTCCATTCTTTTCATGACCCAAGACCCAACAATTTGTTTAACTTTATGGACATTTATACTTTGCTAGATTTGATGGCAGGAGGTCAATTTACAGGAAACGAATTCTGAAACATGTTTACAGAAGAAACTACAGTTCAGGAAATCCAATCTATTATATGGGTTTTTCACTCACTTTTAAGGTCCTCTTACTCTTTTTAAGTATTGAGATTGATTAGCAATAAACACATTTTACACTTGAACATTTTTTTGAAGCACTGTGAGAATTAGTAAAAAGATCACCAGAATTCTGAATTTAGCAGTCTCCCGAACATATTTACATGGTATAGATGAGATGAGCATGGAACCTCAAATAGAACAATAATAACAGCAATATTCATAATGACAATAGTAGTCAACACTTACTGAATATCTGTAATGTACTAGGCACTATGCAAAGCACTTTACATTTATCATCTCATGTGATCCTCAAAACAATCCCTTGAGGCTGCATATGAGTCAGAGTTCTGGCTGGAAACAGATGACACTTTCAAACTGGGTTGTTTGAAAAGAGTTTAATAAGGGAACTATTTATGAAGATATGGGCAGAGTTTATGGGAGTCAACAATGGATAGTACACTCTAGGGCTAAAGGAAGCCATTACTACCCTTAGGCCTAAAGGCCTAGGAGAAGGTGGTATATGAAGAGGATCGCTTCTATTAGAGAGATATAGCCAACCCTTGGTGAACTGGTAAGGAAGAAACTAAGGAATAGCTTCCCTTTCCTTTTATACTCTGATCTCCTGCTAGTACCTCCTATTGACCTAACCCAACTAGAAACTGAAAGGCAGGCAAGTGAACCCCCCTGGGCAAAAAGCCTAGGTAGAGCATGGATACTGAGGGGCAAATGGAACATAATCCAACACAGATTGGTATTGTCATCTCTACTTTTCAGATGAGAAAACTGAGGATCAAAAAGTTTAAGTTAATTTACCCAAGGGTCACACAGCTAGTAGGATCTATAATAATCTCAAGTAATTATTAGTGCTTTATCAGTCAAGAAATTTCTGGATTTGGAAAACAGTCTCAAGATAAAATATGAAACAAATCTTATCATTTATTAATTTGAGATGCTAAGTTCGTATATCCATCAAATTATTCTTTTTAATTTTCTCTTTGTTTTTAATTTTTAAAGAAAGATTTACATAGAACAAATAAAGGAGAGTTTGATTTCTGAGCAATGATGAAAAGTTTCTGCGTATAATGAGTGTTTTCAATACAATACTCTTTAGCTATTACAAATGGGAAAAACATAAACAATTTCCATTTAACCTTGTACTGTTGTATTTAACTTTATTTACTTGTCTCTGTCTTCTACTAGACTGTGAGTTAAAGAGCAAGGGTTGTATCGTATTCATGTTTGTAACTCTGTCTTCTAACAGTGTACCTAGGACAACGTAGGCACTCAAAAAATGTTTGTAAGTGATTGAATAAATGAATAGTTGAAAGAATTTACATGAAATAATGTGACTTGAAAAAATAATACTTGATTACAATGATATAAAACCTGATGTATCCACATTAACAAATATGAAAATTCTGAGCACTATACCTAGAGTTTTAATACTCAGTAGATTCCTTTTATTGCTATAAAAATGTTGTTTGTAATTTTTCTTAGTAGTGTTTCATTTACTCTGAGGGAAAGGTAATCGGGTATATGGTAGAATGGTGTTTATCTGTTACTTTATAAATTGACACTGACATTTTGAAATAATGAAGTACTGTACTTAGTTAGGAATTTGTAATAATAGGTGTGTTGCCATTCAAGATTACATTTATCCTGGAATAGAGGCATTGATTGACAATAATTCACTAAACACATTCTTCAGCCATTTAAATCTTGATTCTCATTAGTACTCGATTTACAGATTATGCTGTATAATAATATGAATGCACAATATTTGCATGCATATTCCCAGTTCATTCTTTCATTTTAATTTGTGTTCCTCATAATTCATTGGTAAGGAAATTGACTTTAATTCATTTAATACTGAGCACAAAACTTAATATGAGGGTTACAGGAAAAATCTAAGACTCCGTACAATTGAAATTTTTTTATTGAAATTTAACTGCAAGAGATAAAAGATTTCTCTTTGTTTTTGTTTTTAGAGTGTCTTATGAAAGTTATCTTTCAGGTCATAAGTAGAGTTCCTAAGAAAAGCTTTTCTAAGTTTAAAAACTTCTTTTAGACTATGCACAGATCATGATTTGGTATCTGCTGAGTAAGTGATAAGAAACACTGTCCCTTGTAATTGTGAATTTGGCTTTACTTTATAAAAAATTTCAAATAAGACTTAAGCATACAGTTAAAATTAAATTGTGAACACGTTTGAAGGATGGCTTCCTAGGCCTGAATTTATTTAAACTCATCTTTGATTCAGTTACGTCCATCATTTTAATGATACCATTGTATTAGTGCAACCAGAGATTCCTATATTACATAAAGCTTTTATTAAATAACACCAAGCCCAAAGCATAGTCATACTCTGAGTCATTCTTCAATGGCTCAGAATGGGCTAACCTTTATATCGCTAATTGTTCTGTCTCTAACCAGGAAGTATAAATTATGTATGAGCCTCTGTTTTGACAGAACTATCTCCATATAGATTTATTCATAGACATTTTTATTAATGGTATTAGTTTGGTTTTATAAGTGTTTACTGAGCATCTATGAAGAATATAGCACTGGGCTAGGTCCTGGGGACAGAGAGGTGCTTTGCTCTAGTGAGGGGCTATTTGCAAAGAAGGGATGAGGAGAAAAGCAAATATCACTATATGACAGTGGCCACATTTTAGCATCTGTTTTTGATTACAGCTTGGTTCCAAACAATAGATGCTTTCTAACATGTAAATGGAGTCAGTTTTTTCATATGCACTAGTTTTTTTAGCCGTGAATAATCTCAAAACCTCTGATTATCAAGAGTTTATTATACTTAGCTCTTGATCTATTTGTGGTTTCATTCATTTGTTCGTTCATCCATTCAACACTAATTTACTTAGAATCCTCTATCGTAGGTGCAAGAATTACCCCTTTCCAGCCTAACCACTCTGATTAATTTGTATCTAAGCAATATCTCTGTAATTGTCAAAACCCAAATGTTGGAGATCAGGGCAGATTTCAAGGTCAGGAACAGCATTCTCATTTCTTTGGTAATGGTAAGAATATACTAGTGGAACATGGGCAGCATATGCCAGAGGGGCCTTTTTAGGATTCTGATTTGAGACTTAAAAACAGTACTGCCACAGCACAGGGAGGGTAGGTTTATTGGCTCAAGGCAGCTTTTTGTGTCGCCAAAGGAAATTGTTGGCTTTGTGTTTGCCCCATGGAATGTGTAACTTTTTTGTCCTAAGTTTTGTCTTTATCTTACTGTTTGAAGCACTGAACTCCTTTTCCTTTCATCTGTTTAAAATCTCACCATTGTCATACCCATTCTCTTTCCAGAACTAACAGTGATAAACAGGATACAGATTCTGGCTTCTGTTGATGTTTTCTTTAAAACAGGAGTAAGTCATCACAAGATAGAGAATAAAAACAATATCTGTGCAAAAACTAAAGCAAAACATATACAACAGACCAACCTTTAAAAGGATCTTTCACTATTAGGCTTCTTTAAAAATATATCTGGACTACTTCCTGAAGCTAGCAAGAATAGTATCAATAGTTTTGTTAGGAGAGTTTTCCCTGATATAGCTATGTATAAATCTATATGTGAGATTAAAAACAAAAACAAAAGTCAGTATTTTTAAACATCAGAATTGCACTGAAAGTGTAAAAGTCAGAGAAGATCTAATACCCAGAAGTAACTTTAAGGAAGAAGAGCTAATTGAGTTAACTGTTAATGATTCGAGCACTAAATGGGTAGTTGAGAATACCATAGACGGCTTTCTGTAGTTGGTTGCTTTCTGCTCACAAAAGGGTGGTTGTTTTTTTTTTTTGTTTTTTGTTTTTGAGATATCATTGACATATAACATTGTATTAGTTCCAGGTTTACAAAGTTAATGATCTGATATTTGTATATATTACAAAATGATCACCACAATAAGTCTGGTTAACATCCATCACCACACATAGTTATAATTTTTTCTTGTGAAGAGAATTTTTAAGATCTACTCTTAGCAACTTTCAAATATACAAAACAGTATTATTAACTGCAGTCACCATGCTGTCCATTACACCCCCATGACTTAATTATTTTATAACAGGAAGTCTGTACCTTTCAACTAACTTCATCCATTTTACCCACCTCTCAATCAGCCAGCCACTCCAGCCCACTCACTCTGATCTCTGCCAACCATCAATCTTTTCTCTGTATCTATGAGCTTGATTTTCTTTTTTTTTTTAGATTCCACATATAAGTAAGATTATGTGGTATTTTTCTCTGACTTATTTCACTTAGCATAATGTTCTCAACGGTCCATCATGTTGTCAGAAATGGCAAGACTTTCTTCTTTTCTATGAATGAATAAGATTCCATTACACACACACACACACACACACACACACCACATTTTCTTTATCCGTTTATTCACTGATGGACATTTAGGTTGCTTATATGTCTGAGATGTTATAAATCATACTGCAGTGAACATGAAGGTGCATATATCTTTTCAAGTTAGTGTTTTTGTTTCCTTCAGATAAGTACCCAGAAGTGGAATCTCTGGATCATATGGTAGTTCCATTTTTAATTTTTCTGAGGAAGCTCTATACTGTTTTCCATAGTGGCTGCACCAATTTACATTTCTACCAACAGTGCAGAAAGGTTCCCTTTTCTCCACATCCTCGTCAACACTTGTTATTTTTTGTCTTCT